TTACCTGCTAGCTGACTAATATACCTTTAGGGCACCACAGTATGATAGCTGTGCTATATTAGCTGCCGGTAATATCAGTTTCATTAATAATTGGACTGTAATTGGGTCATGTACCTGTTGTCCAATTTCAAATAATAATAATATTAATAATAATAATAATTATTATTATTATTGTCAGGAAACTGCAATCTTGTCGGTTTGTAGTGATTTCGTATTCTATTTCCTACGAAATTGTGGTCTGGAAGAAAATTACAATGATACACCGTCATTCTTCATAATCAGTTCTTCAATCAATGTAGTAATCTTTTGATGTGCAAATTTCCGAACACTCTGTTAATCTTTTGTATAAAATATGTATAATGGAAACAAATCTGCATCCTTTATTAACGGATTATGTTACGGGAATTGGCTGAGGTGTTTAATTAACCACTTTTTGTAACAAATCTGCATTTATCTACTTAGGTGTTCAGTATTCTGATCTACTCTACTTTTTATTAGTTATCAACGGAATATTTAATACTAAACTATTGTTAGCATTTATTCTTTAGGAAGGACAACTGGCGAATTATCCAACACGACGAACTAAATTTTAGTGGACTGAAATCGATAAGAAACCCTCAGCACGAAAATAATTCGCTTCACCACACTAAACTTGAACGAAAGTCCGTAGAAAAACTTACCGCAATAATAAAGATCGAAAACACGTCAACAGCAGAAAATTATAAATTAAATATTCCTGCATAATACGGCAACATCTGCATGAAGCGAAATAACCTACTAGTAACAGGTTAATAATGAAATTCAAACAATTATACCCATTAAAAAGAAAAACTTTCATCAAAAATTTTAATAAAACATGAAAAGGAAAAAATACAGCTATCACCGAGACACGCATCATTAAAATTGTATAGTGGTTTAGAGCAAAAATAAAGCAAGTTTTGTTTGAGATCAATGTAAAGCATGCTTGTCAAAAATTGATTTGCGTTAAAATAGCTCCATAAGTGTAGACAGTCTTGATAATTTGATATATTTTTCAATTATACCGCTTACGTCTTATCTTCACTAGAAATTTATTATTCATGCACAATCGTTTCGTAAATTCTATTCTAAATGGTTGCGAACTACTTTGCATCAAAATGAGCAGGACTACTTTGTTTTTTGCGTTGAAATCCAACCAATTATAAAAAATACCATTCCAAATAAGTAAAGAGAGGGCCAATGCCTTTTCATTTTGGTAACAGGCAAATACATAAAAGTTGTATATAAATGTGTAACTGAAAGAATCCTTTTATTTGAACCTACTTGTTTTTGCCTATTTGCGTATTTTTGATCATGAGCGTTTTTTTTTTTGCATTTTTCGACCTATTTTGCTTTTTCTGTCTATTTTGTTCTAAAATCTGAATTTTCTATACCCCTGAGCACGTTTCTGGCGAAGATCACATTTAGTATTTCGGGTACTACAAAGAAAGATAATGCAACCAGAGTTTTGGGTAAAAGGGTCTCCGGAATCCCGTTAGCAAAATGCCGGCAATTCAGTAACCCAAATCTATTTTTCTGCGTAAACCATCAAAGAACAAATTTTATTGCGCAGTTAAGTCCGTGTGTAGATTTTAAAATATTAAAACACCCATTTACAGACCCCGCCACAAATTGTCTCTTCCTTTTCTGAGAAGAGCTCTGATGTGTTAAATACTTAAAGCCCTCGTACAACTTTCTTTTCGAGTTCTTTTCCTGCATTAATTAGTTCGTGTTAGATTTTCGTAAAGTGGAGTTCAAAAGTGTTTCAAAATTGTTTATTATCTAGTATTTTGTGCCATTTTAAAAAATGCCAAAAGTCAAATCGTCTTTAAACGATAAGTTAAGGGAATGGACGAAAAACAAAGAGGTTTTTCAAATAGAAAACGGCGAATTGTTCTGTAAAGTCTGTGAGAAAATAGTAAGTATAAATTATTATCGGCGGTCCTAAACTGCGCACCATCTACCTGCGGCCCTTCATAATTTTCCTAAACTGCGCACTTGGACGTGGATAAAAGTCAACAATTTATTTCTTAATAACTCCAATTACACGACTAACTATTACAGTGATTATGTACAAATTAACTTCGTGGTGAAATTTCATGAATTAATTCACTCGCTGGACTCGACTTCTTCTGAATAGTATCCACTCCCGACGGTGGCCTCTATTTAAACTCGTATTCCCTTCTCGATGTTTCCCACTCGAGGTCTTTCTGGAATCCATGGCGACTTCCGCTTCTAGGCCTTTCTTTAGCGAACCCCGCTTCGAGCGTTTTTTTGGACGCTGCAAGCGAGACTTCGAGTAATCCGCTCGAGGCTTGTCTTTATGGGAGCGCTGTCTAGGTGACGTCAACCACGATGCGTCATCATCGCTGTAAAAATCAGAAAACTTGGGAACCCATGGGGCATAGGCGTCGTACCGGGGCACCGTATGAGTTTATTTCGTAACAATACCAATTTTTGAAAAATAAATAAATGTGTTGTTGTAAATTTCATGCCCCAAGAAGTACCATATTCTTCAACATGAAAATATTCACATGCACAAAACAAATCTTACTAAAGATACCAGGCAAACTTTAATTTCCTCATTTCATAGTGAAGACCATTAAAAAATTATATGAATTCTGCAGGGCATTTGTTGCGACAAATATATTATGTGTAGAGGCAGCTGGTATGTACACCACTTTAGGGACATCGAAAATAGTGGAAAAAATTAATAGGTATTGTAACAGTGGCACGTTTTATCAGTAAGTCGTTAGTTAATTCTATTAATTATTTAAAAAAAATCCTTCGACTTGCATTAGTGTTCTAACTGCGTCTTAGTAACGTCAATCAGATTGATTGTATTTACAAAGCACGGTTGTAAAGTCGCATTAATATTCAAGTTTCACAGTTAATGCAAATTTTTAATTTTGCTATGTAGTAAAGTAAGCAATCTGATATAAGCCGAACTTAAATTTAGTCTGTGACCCAATTTCTGAAATTATAATATTGTTGATCACAATTGAGTTTCTCTAGCAAAAAACTCGGTGAATATTATCTGTTAAACTTCGATATCACCGTAAAGCACTGGGTCATAAATGTTTCTAATATAATACCGTGCAGATAAGAACTCCTTGGCCAAGAATTCAACTATCGTCTAATGATTTCTCCGAAATTCTCCCTGTAATAAGAAGGAATTAAAGTATTATCTGATAGACTTTGATATTAACGTTGAACACAGGATTATAAATATTTCTAATAATCTTGTATAATGCCAGTAATTTTGGCAAAATATGTAAAATGATAGAGAAGACAAATACAGCAAATACAGTAAAAAATATTGTTTGTGTTGAGATATCTCCAAAAAGCAATGTACGGAGGGTTTTGCTCCACCCAGTTAAATTTGGTATAGAATACGAAGTAAAAGCTAAAGCAAAATTTGAAAATATAACCCGGATTAGAGTACACCTGCTGGGATGTCGTAAATCATCTCGAGTTTGTATACTTGTTTGCCTGATTCTACCAAAATCTTGGATTTTATTTTTTTCGTTTTTTGGTTATATCTTAAAAAGTTATAACCCTAAAAGAAAATAAGAATTTCTACCCAATGCACAATAAAATTCTCTACAAGACTGCATATTTTTCAAATCAAAATACTGTATTATTTTCTTGTAAAAAGGATTTCCTTATTTGTATGTTTTATTTTTTTAAAGAAAAATTACAATAAAATTTCGAGAAAAAGATTGCTCAAAAGATTTTTATATGAGGAACACACACAGACATCGTTCACTCCTCCAAATGCTCATATGAGACTACACTTAGGAACGACGTTATACGTTAGTTCTTTAATATTTTGGAAAGGTGAGGTTCTCCATCAATGTCTTGGTCAGATCGAAAACACTCCAATTTAATTACTTTTCACTAAGGCTTGGACAGTTTTTCTATTGTATTCTCTTTTTTATTTCGCTTCTTTCTTTTATTGAAGTTTGTGTGGGAATTGTGATAATAAGATAATAACTTCATAGTACGTAGGTAGTTTGGAAAATCACAATAATGTAAATATTGAAGACCTCTCCTTCTTTAAATAAGTTTGAAACTCCTGTGTCCATTTAGTTTTGTCTATGGTTTTCTTAGATTGTCCATATAAAAATAGAGACAAACTTCATAATCATATTGAAGATCTCTCAAATACAAGTACTTGTACTCGCAGCGCAATTTCAGTTAGATTAAGGGCCGGTTGCATAAACGCAAATCAAATTTAATCTCTGATTAACTCCATAGTAACGATTGTTATTATCATAGTTACAATTGTTCTTAATCAGAGATTAAATTTGATTTGCGTTTATGCAACCGGCCCTAAAAGAAATAAACTGACACATCAAAGAAAAAAAAACCGCTTTCCGCTTCGAAGCTCCATAATAATAAAATAATAGAGATGATGATATTTGGTACACAATTTTTATATTTAGCATAAAGCACTCTTAACTACATTCATTTTTCATAAAAGTATAAAAATTACTTCAATTAGGTACGTTTGTGTTTTCATATATTTGCAGTGCTTCAAAATGCATGTTCACATACGAAAATATGTAATATCATCTTATTTGAGACGTATTTTGTTTTAAAAAATATTAAACATAAAAGATTCATCGTAAAACCAAGATCCTGCGAAATATGCGATTGACTGTTTAATAGCTGCGGCAATAAATCACCTGAAGCCACGTCGTACGAAACTTCCCTTTCCTTATGCTCCTTGTTCCCTTTTCGACGAAACCTTTTTACTGACAAACAACACAATAAATTTGGTGAATCTAGTTGTTATGCCCAATTAACCGTTTTCTCACTCTCCAAATTTTCGTCGAAATGCGTCGTCAAATGCTTAAAATGTCATAATCTCCCTTTTCGCATTTGTCATTGACGAACATGCGCCCTAGCGTAACTTTAATCAATCCTGGCTAGACCGTACAAAGAAGGAGCTCTTCTCGCACATAAAATTAGTTTAAGCGAAAATCTTTTCACAGAAGGTTTGATATTAATGCTCATTTTTGTTTAAAGTTATTAAGATATTTTCACGACATGAAATTTATCGATTTCCTAGATGACAAACAAACTAACGTAGATATCGACAAGCTTGAGCCAGGTAAATATTAATAGAGTACGTAGTAAAACACTAAATCAATACATATTCCTGTACACTTATTTTGGACATGTATTTAAGATTTCTGTCTTTCTTTGAACGGGTGGTGCGCCTATCGGATGCACGACAACATATTCTTAGACTTACACACGCGAGACATTCGTCATACCAAAGTATTTATTTCTTTATTTTAAATGCATTTTCACGTGTTGATAATTTACCGCAAAGGAATAAATCTAAATTTAAATATAGTGACACAAACTAATATCCACTTTTTTGATGATTACTTTAAAAACTAGCAAATAGCATCTTCCACATTTTCATAACAGCAATTCGTTTAAAAACGTAATTAGCTAAATGTAAATTAACAGCTGGCCGGTAATTTCCTGACAGAAGGGATTTACAACTAAAGATTAGCATACGAGTAGATCAACGAACGTGAAAAAAATCGTTGAGGAAATATTACCCACTATAGTCGTATAAATATGATAATTCAAATTAAATAGTTCTTAGTTAAGTATAAAACATTATTAAAAAAGCATATAGCATTAATCCGTTTTAAATATTTTTTAGAAAGGTTGCTTTTTTAATTCCCGTTCGTAAACTAGAGAAGTAATGTAATAGGGTTAGTGGCTATTTTCAGGTTTTCTCAACGTGTATGAACACATAGAGTATGAAAAATTAAGTCTCGCGTTTCCGTCTGTCTGTCATCTTTGCTCTGTTGCCGATTTTATTAGATGGATAATTTCCGAAATTACTTGAAATTGATTATGTATTTTAAAAATATCGTGCAGTTGGTAAAAGGCTAATCAAAATTTGTTTGATCATCAGCAACAAAATAACACACTTTTGTACATGTGGCTTATGAATCTATCTTGATTTTTTTTAAACATTCAAATTTTTCGAAAAAGTAAGTATGTTGTGAATTTTGTTTTTTTTTACGAGAATTTTTCGTTTACAAAGTTTTGTGATGACGTTGTCAACATTTTTGCAAGGAGACGTGTATTACTTTAGATGGGTACAGTCTAATAGTAATAATAATAATAATAATAATAGTAGTATTGTATTTCCAAATTTTTGAGAAAATCGAGTGAGTCATTCATGATTTAATCAATAAAATTAATTGATTCATTCATTAATTTTTGTGAATCACCCTGTATAGGCAATTCTAAAAAATATGAGTGAAATGATACATCACAAATGTAGACTCATCATATTTTACACATTTTAGATAGGATTTATTTGGCAAAATTTGAAGATGACGTCATCAGTTTTTAGAGGGGTCGTAAATGGAAAAATTTTTAATTAACCAGTTACCATGTTTCCGATAACCGTAAAACGTTTGCAAGGTTTCAGAGTATTCGGTTTTGTAATTTCAAAAATAAACTGTCATATTATTAATAACGATAATAATAAGTATTAATGATAATAATTAATATACATACACTACTAAAATAACATTGATCAGACTAATTTTGGTTAGCATTTTATCACGTACACGTGTTCCTAATATACATATAGTCTAATAGAAATCGACACAGACGCGAGATCTATGTTTCCGTATTCTAGAGGTCATGAAACGTTGAAAAAACATAAAAATTGGCTTTATTACAATACTTCCTTCGCTTACGCTCGGGAAAAAAAGTGTGGTATGGAACCTATAAATGGAACGCTTGTAGGGTTTAAGATAATTTTAGATTGTACCCCAAAATTAATTCTATAAGATAATTTTCAATAGTCCACGGTAAATGCGTAATTGTCGTATACTAGATCATCGAGACACATCCATTTTCAGTAATCTACTTGCTGAAGTTGTATGAAATTAACGACTGGCTGTCGGAGTATGCTATCTATTTCATTTGTATAGGTTTTATCTGTACGGTTTTTACATCGATTGTTTTTCATTGTCTTTAAATTGCTCTGGGGCCAATTTCAAGTTGGATTTGCGATATCGCAAGTCTCGTTGCTATGGAAGATGTGGTGACTTGCGATAATGCAAATCTAACCTAAAATTGCCTCATGTATATCCTAATATTTATTAAAAGTTAGTTCAAGTTTAAATTTTGTTCCAGATAATAAAACAAAATGTCAAAAACCAATGCACCTCTACAAACTCATCCACAGTGTTAACTCCGCATGCGATAAGAACATCAACGAACTTAAAAAACTATATTCCAAACACAAAATTTTGGGAAAAGTAGAAACTTTACGGGTAATGTTCAGTGATCACGACAGTCAAAATGCTTGTACCTTCTCTGTTCCTGAATCCAAAACGAGATACAAAAGAGCCGTTATGTTGTCACTTTTTAAAGTCTGTTGCGAAGAATGTGAGCACGATACGAAAGAATTGTTATTCTTCCTTGCAGCGGCCTTCGATATTCCAAAACTGAGAGAAGTGATAAAACTAACTGAAAGCGAAGATTTAAATCAGATAAGGTTTTCTGATTCGGTTATTGTGTTCACGTTAAAATATGGAGACGTTGGAAACGAGAACTTCATAGAATGTATGAAAATATTAATCGATGCAGGAGTAGACGTCAACAGGTGCGATGTTAATGGAAGATTTGCCATAGATTATGTAGCTAGTTTATACAACAGAAACGTAGATGCTAAAATACTAGAAAACTTAAGAAAACTTGGCAAACTTCTACTATACAAGAAAATATGTGAACCTAATGATGCCACCACGAAGTGCTTTATCGAAAATGATCTTCAAATTGACCTCATAAGCTACAATTATGCCTTAATGGACCACCGATTGCAATTATTTTTCTGGATTTCGAAGTACAAAACTGAGGAGTTTTTAAGTTTCAAGAAAATAGACTGCTATTCTAATTGTGATAATGGAGAAAACACTCTTCTGCAATTTGCTGTTAACAAATCTCAGAACATGTTACCAATCGTCGAATTTTTACTTAAAAATGGAGCGGATCCGAACAAAGTAACTGAAGTAAACTTGCTAAGCCCTCTCGAAATATCAGCTCGTAACAACTACGAAACAATTTTCAAAGCAATTTTAAACTGGAAAGAAACTAGAATTAGTGAAGAACAATTCAGTAGTTTTGTCAAGGCTAGAGGTTATTCCATAAAGCGAGAACTGTTTGCGATTTTCTTAGAATCAGATAAAATAGACCCTACTTTTGTTTATCAAAGAACAGGTAATACACCTCTTCATTACGCCATTCGTCTTTGTCACAAAAACGCTATTCAGAAACTATTAAGACGTCCTGATGTATGTTTAACTGTCAAAAACAAGGCCGGTAAGTGTCCTCTGGACTTGTTAAATCCGACTGATCTAAACATCTTCCTTGATTCTTGCTTGGTGTTTGATAGCAGACGCACAATAGATTTTAATTCTACTGAATATACGATGCAGTTTCGTTTTAGACGTCTAACTGATGGTAATTTAACAGAAGTAGATGTTATTTCGCTCATTGGAAAGTACCACAATCTGGAGCAGCTGCTGTCACATCCTTTGATACACACCTACGTAATGCTAAAGTGGTTCAAAGTCAAATTCCACTTTTGGATGATTTTATTCCTCCAAGCAATAATTTTTTTCCTTTTAAGTTTTGGCTTCTATAGATTCCCGTATTCGTCCCTCGCCGAACACATCGTCTGCTTCTGCGTGTGTATATTCAACATAGGACTGAAATCTTGGGTCTTTCTGCGACCTAAAGATTTTGTGAATGATCTACGCGCTCTATACTTTAGGCCAACAACTCTTCATGAAACTTGCGAAATTCTTCTAATGGTCACTTCAGTTGCTAGTTTTTACCTAAGTGAATTCCGAGCTTTTATTTTTGTTGAAATGGCAATAATTTTTCTACTAACTGCTGGTTATCACCCGAAACTGGCCCACTGGTCGATTATGATACAAAGAGTCTTCAGAACTTTCACACTATTGTTAATATTTTTCTCGCTACTCATGATTGCTTTCGCTGCTAGTTTCCACATCATGTTTGAAGATCACCGATTCTTTACGGCTTTGTATCGATCCGTTTTCATGGCGTACTTCATGACGATTGGAGAAATAAACATAAGCGAGGTAGACTTCGAAACAACTCCATTCGGCGGCTATTTACTTTTCTTCCTCTTCGCTATGAGCATGTCAGTCGTTATAATCAACTTTTGGACCGGTGTGGCGATTAGAGACATTGATAAGTTTGAAGAGCGTTCAGAAGTAAATGCACTGAAAAATGTTATAGCTTTCATTTCTTTTATCGAGAAACACGTGTTTAGTGTCGACTTTTTTAAAAGATTTCTGCCAAATCCGCTTTTGTTTCCTGTTGCTGGTAACGAAGATTATATAGTAGACTTCTTTGTTAATAAAGATGACCACTTTGAATATAAATATGAGAAGGTAGGTCAGGTGAGGACAAAAGTGAAGAGAAATTTTCCTAGACAGTTGAATAAAGGTTGCTTGAATAAAATAAAGCAGCATTATTATAAACAGCAGGGGACCACTAGTGAACAGAAAATTTTGGCGAAATTAGATAGGATTTTGCAGTTTTTAGATGTAGCGGCTCGAGATAAAAAAGATTTGGTGAGTAGAATTTACAAAAGAGAAAATACCATCGTCTAATATTTTATGTGTTCTGATGAAATCGTTGTTTGATTACATCAGTCTAAATTTTTCCATAAAAGCGCCTTAAAATAATACTTAGAGTTTGCAACGCGTATACGTAACGTCATCGATATCTAATTTGCGATTGCTCAGAAGTGATGGTGCTTATTTTAATGTAGTTTTCAAAAGAAAATTGTTGCTTGTCTTAGTATGGAGTACTTAAATTATATTTTATATATATACATTTAACAAAAGTTTTATAAATGTTTATAATACGTAATATATTAATATAAACAATACATACATACTTTGTTAAAAATAAATATATCAGTAGGCTTACTATTTATTATATACTATTGTCCGTAAAAAAAAAATATCCACATAACACCGTTGTTGTAGATTCTACCTCAGGCGACTGTACATAAAATATTACGCTGCCATCACATGTAACACTGTTATTGCACTATCGTTACATTGTAATAAAAATTAATAAAAGTTATTATTTTTTACGTATAAAATATTTTTTAATAATTTTACACGTAACTGCCCTTCGCAGCTTACTAAGAACCACTACGCAAATGTTCTAAAATTCCATAACAGTCAACACAGGATCTGCTTTTTTATAGGTAAGATCATAAACATATTTTCACAGTTTTTTCACTTCAAGCGGCGTTTCGAATATTACTAATATTACTGTAGGTAAGCAGTACTTAACGTGGAGATTACCGATAAATGCGCAATTTTTGGTAAATGTTATATTAAAAAAAAAGTAGCTATGAGAAAAATTAAAACAATTATTCAGTAACAGAATAATAAAATTGTCTTTCAAAGTATTGCCAGCAATAACGTTCACACAGCCAGACATGATGTCGCCGCCTTGGAGTCTCGGCCTTCTGGAAAAAATCAATTTATAATCTCCAGACTAATCGGGCGCCAGTTTGTTTGTTTGGATAGAGGAGTGAAGATATAAAAATTATAGGGAAATTTTGAAAAAAAATATAATAAATATGAAATAAAAGTATGAACTTCTGTCAAATAATTTTTATTACCCTTCTGTACTCCTGGACAGAAGCGGAATGAAGATTAATCAGGCGAAGCTGTAGTGAAAACTGGACCAGACCAGGTAGAAAAATCGAAGTGACACAGTACCTAGCGGGCGAAACCCAGACACATACATAAATATTCAGAAAAAACAGAGATAAAGAAACGCTTCCACGACAAGTCGAGATGATGCAACGAAAAACAGATTATGCATCCCAAAAATACCATAAATTCGAACAATTTAAGAGCTTAACTGCATAAATTTGGTTGATTTACGAGAGCTAAAATTTAGTAACTCTTATGGAACTACCAAATGCGATCTAAACTGCAAGTACTTCTGACTCGTAAATGAAGGGTGAGTCAAAATCTGAGGTGCTACTAGTCGTGCTGCTCTTGCGAGCAACGATAATGTTCCAACTCGAATCTCTGCCCGAATGTCTGTTGAATTTTGAAGAAAATTGGACTTGAAAATTTTCCATGTCGTGTCTGTGTAAGTCTATCTTCAGTCATGCATGACTTTATCTTAACTTTCGTGCCACGACCGTAATGTATTTTTGACGTTGATTGTACTATATAATTAATGCAGTCTTGTTTGTGGCTCCCCATACGTTTCGTGTGAATAGAGACCACCGGGGCTGTGTCAGCTTTTAAGTCACAGGGGGAGCTCTTCCGATAAATTACCGAACGTTTTATCAAAATTAATTCAATGTTTTCTCGGTCTTCGTGTTCGACTCTCAGAGTTTGCGATGTGGATATTTTAGATGGACACTGAGACGTTTCCAATCCGAAACCATATCATCTGATCAGTTTGCAGTACATAATTTTTACCTTTAATTTATTACCCTTCAATATGTTCCCGTTCTTTAATAATTTGGTCGTAGTTTTCGGAAATGCTTATGCTTTCACTGTAATTTAAGCGTTGATGGTTCTATTTTCTCAACTCTCAGCCTCGCTACTTATTTCTGCTTTCATCTAACCACCCAGTGACCGTTTCCTCATGAACAAGTGTTCGCGCCCAGCGTGTTTATCGCATTAAGTAATTAATGCAAAAATTACTTGCCTGTCATGTTGAATGTTTTTAATTTTATAATTAGCGTAGGTTTATTAGTTGGATGTTTTAATACGGTTAGTTTTAATTTTTATTCTCGAGGGAATGTTTCTTCGATATCTACCGGAATCTTAGTTTCAATTATTTTTATCATTTTTAGTAGTAAATGGCTAACGTACAAATAGCCAATCGCAGCTTCGTAAATAGCGACGTGTATTACTCGAAATCGCATCTTGCAGTTTTCGAAGTTTTGTTATTAGTGTTGTGGTGACCGAATTTGAATCAAATTTTCGCGTTGAAATTAATTAACAGCGGCGCGAAATCACATTTGAATAATTTGAATCTGAGAAAAAAAATTCAATTAAAAAATATCGTTAAACATAGGCCTTGTGCACGTTTAGTTCTTTTCCTGATGGTTGGTATCTCGCTGAGGGGTTTTAGTTAGAGGGTTGGTTGGTAGACAGAGATGGCGGCATCGCGAAGAGTTAATGTGGGTGTGTTTTTTGAGTGTAACCACGTGGTAAGGTAGTTTGGTTAGTTTAGTTGCTTTTGTATGATGACATCACAGTTTTCCGCCAATACGCGCAGCTAATTCTTGCGGCTTTTAAATCGGAAAAAGTGGTAATTTTCAATCGACGCTACATGTACTGTAAATTTGCTTTATTGTTTGTAAACTCACCGATCAGGTTAGGATTTTAATCGTTAACTGTTTCTAACACAATTTAACAGACATTTGCTAGGAGTTTTCATGAAATTCACCGAGTCAGGACTCGTTTCATTTTGTTTGTCTATTTATAAATAAGTTTTTTGATGTTAACACGTAAGTGTTACATTATAACACTTCTTAATTGTTCACACAAGATTGCTAATAGTTCATTTACGGCAGTTAAATTAACAAATTTTAACCTCAGTCAATTTCTTTGTTGTATAATTTAAATTGAATGTAGACTTTCGTACTCTACAGTTTTAACCTCACATAATATTTTTATTTGCACAAGTTTATTTCACACCAGATCTTTTGTTTCTATAAATCTTTGCTAGTTTTTGTTTTGTGAATATTTTGCTGATGAATGTTTCCATCGTATAAATTACCTGATGTCCAATTTTAATCTCACATAAGAATTATTTGTTATTTAAAATTTCACAAGATTGTATGACGAATTGAAATGTTGTTTATTGCTCTTTTTGAAACTGTAACACTTGTTCAGGTGTCGTTGATATCAGAGTCAGAGAAGTTCAACATTATAAATGGAATTGAGGTTAAATTACACAAAAAACGTGGCAGAAGTGAAGTGCGCGGTTCCTAGTCGGGTTGGCGAGATTTATCGCGCCATCTGCACAAAAGATGGCGCGATAAATGATTTATTTTTTGTGATTTTCATTAATGATATTATTGTGAACATTAAGTCCAACATTCTCATATATGCTGATGATATAAAAAAATTTTAAAACGATATCTAGTATGGAGGACTGTCTTATTCTGCAGAATGACCTTACTACATTTCTTCATTGGAGTAATGGTAATCTACTTCCTGTCAATTTTGACAAATCCTATGTAATGTCTTACACAAATAAAAATTTACAGATATTATACAATTACACGTTAAATAACATTTTCTTATCTCGAGTTGATACTTTTAAAGATCTTGGTGTTATCTTTGATTCGAAACTCACTTTTCATAATCATTAATCATATTAATGCAGCTACTTCAGAAGCTTTCAAATCTCTTGGCTTTATTATTATTATTACAATAAAAGAAAAATCATAATTCTCTCCACTGACTGGTTGATGACATCATCCTTCTTCTTCTTTTTTTTCTTCCTCGTTACTTGAGTTGCTGTTATCAATTCTTTCAACCTAAATTTTGCATATATATTTAAATAAATCAACACATTCCTAGAAACAAATTTCGGTATCTGTAGACTTGAAGGCAGTGAACATCCTCATCATGCTAAACATATTGCCACTCTAGAACGAATGATAAAAGATTTTTGAAGTACCTCTGTTTTAGCGAAGATGGTTTCTATCTCCCCATTAGCTACGAGCAGTCTTTATTGCTTGAAAAATTTACGATTTTGAGTGTTTCCGATAGACATAAAATTTATAAAAAAGGATTTTTTTATAAAATTTTAAACTACAAAATTATGTGTCCTAAATAATTATATCATTATATATTTATATCCCAATGTCAAGCTGTTAAGGCTTAATGCGGTAAGTCATTTCTTACCGTGGTAAGATTAGTATACAAATATTTACTACAATTAGCTTAATCCTCGAATTAACTCCTAGTACCTACTTAGTGTCTATAAGGTTTTGCACGACTCCTTTTCACGAACGAAGGGACGTTCTTTCCTTGTATAAATCAATAACCCACTTTATTTAAATGAAAAAAAAAACATAGGTCTAGGTATGTGGACTTTTTTTTCGATGTACCGAAAACAATGGATGGTAAATTCTTTAGATGCTCAATTGTCAAAGAAAGTCAAGTAAAAAATGTGTATTTTTCCACTTACTTGCTCAACATATCTACCTACTTATAAAGAATGTTATCCAAAGTAAAAGGTTTTACTACTGTACTCCAAAAATACCATCCAACCCACTAAGTACATTTTTGTTACTTCAGAATATTGGTCTAAAGATACTTAGATAGGACTTCCCTCGCACCTGAAGTCAAACTTTCAAAAAAATTTCAATGTGTTAGAACAAAAATTGAAGATAAAGATGATATTCAATCCTTTCTTTAGCTTTACTTTTCTTCAAAAAGTCTGCTCTGTCGTCTCTAAGCAGTAATCGATTTATCTACATGCTATATAGGTAAGTGTTATTATTTTCCAGGCTTCTAATTTACTTTATGATGTTTTTAATTTTTAAGCAAATTTTTCCCAAACTTTGTTTTTTCAGCTGTTCGTTCGACTTTTGAGTTTTTTATTTTAAAGTTTTTCCTACTTTCTGGTGGGTAGAACTATTTTATTTATGGCAAAAACGAAGGATTCTTTATTATGTATAGAATCACGTTGTAATTTTTTTCTGTAGGAGTTTTGAGATTGCAAACCAGTCTGTGATAAGGCGTCTAAATGCAAAATTTTATTGATTCATGTTGTCAGTCGGCTTGATGACTCAGATAATTTTACGCTGAAGAAGAGTTTCTACTTATATCTTTTAAGATTCACGCTGGTTCAATCACCTTATTACGAGATTGTAAACGTATGGGACGGGAGTGAAAAAATAGGAATGCCTCTTATGCCTGCAGACCTCAGAAGATTGATAGATACTTCGACAGATTCCATTATCAAATGTTACGTAGACAGCACATTAAAACAGTGGATGCAAAATGTTGCCGTCTTATCATTGTTAAAGGCAGGAAAGGACTTTCAGTCTCCTGCCTTTAACAATGATTTTTAATGTCACGAATCAACTAAATATTTGAATATCACAAATAAAAAAACCACTGGACTATCGCCAGGCTAAAAGGTCCACTCGTTCCATGAGTTCCTAGGTACCCCAACGGAATCTAAAGAAAGTTACGAGGCCACGGAGGTAATATGACAGGAGGGAGCGTCCGTTGTTTAAACAATCTTAAAGATGCGCCGGCAAAAGAGCCCCACGCAAGAGCCATTTATGACCCTTTCCGTACTACATCGGCAGTGGTCGGTTGTCATGGGTTCACAGGTAGCAAATAGTAAAAGAATTTGACCTTTACCCATTCATGACCTTTATGATTAATATCGATTAATATTATATTTAATCAATGACATTAACTTGCTACATGTTAATTTTTGTATTGTATGTCCAGCCTCTCGACAAGCGCTTTCGAGCAAACTAATTTCTCGGAGAAGCTGGAAGGGCCATTTATGATCTCAGTCAAAAGCGCGGTACGAGA